CTGCGTAGCGTCACGCCGGCGGCGCACGCCGATGACGCCACGGGCGCCGCCGCCACGCAACCGGATGCGAAGCCGCTGCACATCGTTTGGCCTCACCGCTGGTGAGGCGCCGCCTTTCTTACTCCCGTTGCCCTTCACAAATATTCTGATCATCACCGAGCCGCGCCGCCAACAGCGTTCTTGGAAGGTCATGTCGATGGGTGAAGGCATTACGGGGTGCCGGCGGGGGCGGACGGCGCCGTTCTCCGCACGTTGCGCGCCGTCGGCGTGGCTCGCGCCTCAAAGAGCCCGCGTTCCTTCAAACGGGCGACCGATCATCGAGAGAGAGGCTCAAAAGCCATTTCTTTGTCCCGTTTGTGCCGTTCCTTCTTTTGCTTGCCCAAGGCAGGCAGGCGTCATCTCGCTCGACATGGGATCCTTTGTCCTCCGGGAGAGACTCCGGAATATGCTGCCGGATTTCGCGCGCCTCGGAAAGGCCCAAATTGTCCCACGTGTTTGATAGCGGGCTCCGCAAATGGCCCGCGTGTCTCGGGGGTGTCGAGCGGGCTTTAGTGGTTTGCCATCTCATGCGTGTCACTGGATGCGCGTTCCCGAATGGAGCCGGCGGGGCTCGCGTGCCTTGTTGTTGCCACGGGAAGCCGCGAAGGCGAGCGATGCCAGCGCAATGAGCTGCCGGCGCGGCGGCGGGGCTCTTTGCTCTTGTGTGTTTTCGGCCGTGCTCTCATGTCGGCGACACGGGCGGGGCCGCCCTAATCGGCTCCCAACTGAGCAAAACACAGCTGGATTACAGCCGCCGCTGCCGCCGCCGCGTTTATTGCGCTCAAATTAGGATTAGCGGCCGCCAGACTTCATCTTCTTCTCATCTTTGCCGCTAATCTGTTTGTGCCCTGGATACTCGCGGCCTCACATTAGGTCCGCCGTAATTGCCGCCCGCATTTCCACCAACCTTCTCCCAATGTCGTGTTGACGTCTCAATTCTCACAAACGGCAACAGCCATTGATGCCTTGTGTGTGTGTGTGTGTGTGTGTGTGTGTGTGTGTGTGTGTGTGTGTGTGTGTGTGTGTGTGTGTTTGGAGGGAGCACGACAAGGATCCCGAGTTGTTCTTCAGCACCATGTTGAAGTTGAAAGAAGAAGGACTCGACTTCCTCGTGTCTGTACTCGGGGAAGCGTTCACCGACGTGCCGGGTAGGCGCACGCAAGGCGAGCAGGCCGAGAGCCGGCAGCGCAGCGCTCACTCGCGCTCACTCGCTGCTGGCTGCTCTTTTCAGAGGTGTTTGCGCGCTGCCGCCCTCTGCTGGACTCGCACGTGCTGCACTGGGGCTATCTGGAGTCGCGAGAGCTCTACCTGAGTGTCCTGTGCCAGGCCGACGTGGTCCTGTCCACGGCGCAGCACGAGTTCTTCGGAGTCGCCGTGTGAGACGCGCGGCACGTCACCCTCGACGCCGCCTGATCACCCGCAGTTGATTTTGCGTGTTGCTGCGTTCAGGTTGGAGGCGGTGCACTGTGGCTGTTACCCTCTGTGTCCCAAGGCTTTAGTGTACCCTGAAATTTTCCCAGGTAAACGTGCGCAGAAGGTCAACGTGCCCCCCGCACCCACACAGACACGTGCAAACACACCCACAAATTAACCCCGCCCCTTTTTGGGCCCTCAGCGGAGTACCTGTACGCCACTCCCCAGCAGCTCCTCAAGAGGTTGCGCAGCTTCTGTGGCCAACCCAGCCGCGTACGCACACACGCGGTCAAGGTATTACACACACACACACAGGCAAGAATTGGACTTGAGGCCCAAGTCTGGCAAATGCATGGATGGGAACAACCACCAGAGGGCGCCATCTTGAATCAGGGCTCACCGCCATCTCTCGCGGTCACTTGGATTGGGCAGTTAGTTGATTTTTTGGTCGGGGGGAGGCAGCGATGCGCGGGGGGGCTGCCGGCCTGAAAATTCAGCGCGTTTTTTTGCTCGTGCACCAAAAGTCTGCAGGGAAAGCGATGAAGCGGAGGGCCGGGTCTCCCGCTCCACGCCGCCGCCCACAATTGGCTCTTCAAGGTCCAGACCCCCGCCTGGTGTCGGACTGTCGACCAGGCAGTTGTTACATTTGCTCAAAATTGTTGCAGCAACTTGTCAGGCTTGGAATGACAGCACAATAAGAGGCCAGATGAGAACGATTGAGTGGGGAAGAAAAGAATTTGAGATGCGCGGAAGCCGCAAATGGCGATATTCAATCGGCGGCGAGTGCGCCTTATTTTCGCGTCCTTTCCATTCGCTTCGATTAGCGTGTGACGTTTTGTGTTTTGTGTCCCCAGGTGGACACGTCCCGTTTCTCCTGGGACGTCCTCAAGGGGGATTTCCAAAGTCTGCTGAGCCCGTGAACTTCTTGCGGGCTCGACGCTTTTTTTTTTTTTTCTTCTTTAGTTTCCCTGCCTGCCTCCCCCGTTTGATCACATGATCATCACCAAACGTGATGGGCTGGCACAGTGGAATTCCGAACTGGCTGCCGGCGGGTGACAATTTGCTCAATTTCGTATTTTGTTAGCGGTCCCCGCGTAAGGGGCGCTCTTTGATGCAATGTTTTTCCTCGAAGATGGAAAAATTGCGGCCATGTTGAATTTGGCACTTGGTCCTTCCGTTCCAAAGGCCAGTCAGTCAGTCAGTCAGTCCACTTCGACTGTTGCTCCTTGGGCCAATAAACTGCATTGCATTCGGCGGAGGGGCGCTCGGTCGGCGGGTGGACCGCAAGGTGACGACGACCAAGTTTTGCTTTCGCGGGATTTGCCGCTCTCATCCAAAAATTCCACTTGGCGCCTCAAAGGAGATTAAGGCGGAATTATGACCTCATCGCCCAATAATCCCGACAGCACGACAAGAGGCAAACACGCACCGACGTAACGTCATGGACGCCCGGGTCAGAGTTGGTCTGGGCCACGTCCCGCATCGCAGAGTCAACGTTGAGCCTTCGCCCCCCCCCCCCCCCCCCCCCCCCCCTTACCTTGCCTTTGTTTTACACATCAACATTGTTTGTTGGTATTTTCATGATCTTCATTGTGTGAATGCTAAAAGCGTGTGGTTCCGATTATTTTTAGTTTCCTCCTCACTTTTTGGGGCACGCATGGACAATTACTACGACTGAATAGATGCATGAAAAAGGATCTCCGGGGTTTTGTGACCAAGTAAAATTCAGTCTCATTTTCTATCAATGCCTTTGAACGATCCATTCCGCTGTTGGCGTTCAACATGGGGCTGATCGATTCTCGCTGCGGTGACATCCGTGGGGGGTTCGACCCTGCCGAGTGTCGCTCGGTGCTCGTGACGACGGCGTGGGAGGTCCTCGTGATCTTGTTCGTTTTCACATACTTTGATATCATCAACTTAATTCATGCGTATCTTAATATTTCACACTTGCATTTCTTTTTGAAATGGATGTCTTCATGCTTCACGCGCTATTTCGTTTTTCACTTTTTCACATTCACGAAGAGCGAGAGGAGCCGTGTCACGATGCGACGGCGCCCTCTGCTGGCAACCACGGGAACTGATTCGTCCCAAGCAGATTGGCAAACGTGCAACTCCACGAACACTTTGTGGATACTTGGCCGACCCACGATAGCATCGAGAGATTCAAGTTGACTACAAAGCTTAGAAAAGTCGTGGACGCAACCCAGTTTTGTTTTTTTTTGGTCGCTGGCTGGGTCCCTGGGACGAGGTGCTGCGCTCACACCCGCGCACAAGATACCTTCGAACGGCGCTGCTCATCCTCGAATACTTTTGAGGGCTATCGGTCCTTTCGGTTGCTCGCTGCTATCCATCGCTGTCTTTTATCTTCTTCAGCAGGTACGTGAGAAAAAGCCACGTCTGCGAGTACATCCGACCGCACGGCACCAAGTGACCATTTTCTAAGATCATCGCTTTAATAAATGGATGCGGGAGTTTGAACAGGTGCAAATATTTATTTTGCCGCCCGTCGTGGCGGAGGGGGCGTTTTACGAAGGCTGCGTCGTAACGCGCCGAGGATGAAGGGGGGTGTGTGGATAGGAAATGTCTTTTATTGTGAAAACCGGGTCGAGCTTTTAACAAGGAGTAGCTGGATTGCACGTGACGTCACAGGTTGTTTTCCTGGTCCGGCCTTCCGCCAAGCACGCTCAAACATTTCCCAGCCGCGACAAGCTCCCGCTCGTCCGACGACGCACCCCTTTTTCCGGCGGCGTAAGGTGAACGAACCGGGACGCTCGAGAAGGACGCGCGCTCGCTCAGTAGCTCGTTAGCCGGCGGTAGTGAGCGGGCGAAAGTCTCCCGAAGCTTCAGTCTCCGAGCCTTTCTCCCTCTTTGCCTCCCGTCCTCACTCGGCCATGGCAGCGGGGCCGGGGCGGCGTGACCGTCTCCCCGCCGCCGTCGTCGTCGTCGAGTCGGTGGCGAGGGCGGCGGTGGTGCTGGTCGTGTTGGCGCGGGGCGGAGGCGCGTTCAACCTGGACGCCGAGCGGCCGTCGGTGTACGACGGCCCGCCGGGGAGCTATTTCGGCTTCTCGGTGGACTTCTTCAAAGCCCCCAACAACCAACAGTAAGAAAGACGAACCAACCCTCTCGCCACATTTACACGAAAACGAGCTCGCGCTTTGGCTTGGTTAACTTGACGCGGGCGGGCGAGTGAGCGGAGGCAACTTATTTGCTTGGTTTTGTTTTTCGACCACTTTTGGGAAGGTTCTCCTCCCCCCCAAAAAATGGGAGCCGGGCTACTGCGCATGCGCCGCAGTCTTCCCCGGGAAGGCTTCGGCTTCACTTCCCTCCCGCTCGTGTCCATAATTGGGCACATGACGAGAGAGAGCCGCTTCCGAGCCCAAAACCGAACCGCCCTTCGATCTTTTGCTTAAACTCAGGACTTCAATTCCAAACGTAAACCCGCGTTCCCCGTTGACGAGCTTGAAAGTGCGGTTATGGGGAGGAGGGTTAAGGGGGTCATTTAGGGGGGAAACATTTTTATTTATTTATTTATTTTTTAATTAAGTGTAAGTGGAATCAAGCCATAAGTGTGACGAAAGGAAAGACGGTTTGATGCTGAGAAAGTCAGAAATCCTGCCAAGCGTAAATGTGTGATATTTGGCAAGCGTGCCGCAAATGACGTTGGCGCACTCATATCAACCTTGTCCTAATCTCAAACAAGAATAATGCGAAGGATTAAACCGTCGAAGGGCCGGCACGCCACGCGAGATATTTTTCCAATTGTCCAAGGCCGCGTCTCTGTTCCAGATGCAGCCAATAAGGCATTGAGAAGGTTCTTCCAAGCCGCGAGCTCGTCGGGCGTTTGGCGCACGCTCGAGGCAAAAGATGCGCGAGGGAGGGCGACCCTAACCGGGGCA